TTAAGTGAGGGGCAACTGCTCAAGAAAGGGGCTTAGGTGACTTTTTGGTGGCCGCCAAGCTGAGCGCCTGTGATTTCGGGGATCGCCTTTGTTTTCCTCCCCAGCCGGGCTGGGAGCTGCCTGAGTACAGGCCACACCTCCCATTTCCCCAGCCTCAGGGCCCTGAGCACAGGGCTGGACCGCTGGCAGCAGGGCCATCTTATCCATTAGGCACGCTCAGCCCAGTGGCCTGAACCCGCAATCCTTTCAATGTCGTTTAACATCAGAAAAGAATAAACATAGAACACTACAAATAATAAAGGCATCTGTTACTGAACCCAGCCTGGATTGTATTTGTCTTCAGACCAGCTCAGTTGTCAAATGTAACTGTTGATGTTTTTTCTTTCCTGCTATGGACAAAGGGGTCCTTGGGAGGGACGGTGCAGCCCTGGCTCCCGGTCAGCATCACCTGCCGCGGCTGCTCGGCCACTGCCCCCTTGGCCTTGGGGCTTGAAGGAAGAGCTCAGAGAATGTCTATTCTGCCTTGTCCGACCTCCCTTGAAGACTCTAGGACAAAAATAGCCCCAAGGCCTTCTGGGCTGGCTGAATTGAAGATAAGTTTAAATTTAAGAGCCTCTTAACTGCAAACATGGGCGATAAGATGAAAAAAGGAGTCCAGACAGTCTACTTTAGTTCTATTCCAGTTAAACTTTTATTTCAAGGAACTATTTAAAGGACCTGACATATGTGAAACACAAAACTCTTTAAATTAAAAAAGAAAAAGACGAAAAACCTTTAGGGAGATGACAAAGAGCCTGCAATGAGGCCTTCCCCTTCCCACAGCATTGGCTAACCTGTGAGTGCCAAGGTATGGGCCGTGCGGGGCGGACAGCTCTGTTCTGCCTGCCCCAGGGCCATCTGTGCGACACATTTATTTCCTGGACTCCCTGCAAGTTGCCAGCTGCAAGCATTTGCTCAGAAAATCAGGTTAAAATGAACAAAGGCGGCCTCGAAGGGAGATGTCGCAGAGGGCACTGCAGGCCAAGGGGTGTGTGTCATGCGTGGTGGGTAAGGATGGAACGGAGCAGGTTGGGGAGGCAGACAGTTGTTGCTAGGCAACCAGCCCTGGCGCCTTTGTAAATGTGGCTCTATTTTGTTTGAAGCTGCAGCTGGCAGCCACCACCTTCTTTTATCTTTCTCCTCCTCCTATCTGTGCCCAGAACACAGACCCAGCGAGAGAGCGCTCAGAGAGACCCTGGGAGGGAGGGAGGGGAGAATCTGGTTGGGGCTCTAGAAAAATCATGTGTCTGAAAAGGCAAATGATTTGACAAGACGGCCTCTCGAGCTGGTGAAATCTGGATGTTTCCCGTTACTAACCAAGATCTTCGGCAGGTTTATGTAATCTCTCTGACTTTCAGGTTCCTTGGTTGTAAAACTAAGGACATAACCCTTATGCAGGAATGTGGGGAAGATTAGATAAAATGTAAGAGAGGACCCGGTCCAGTGCCTGGAGCATAGTAGGTGCTCAGTGATCAGTGGCAGGGTGGTGAGAGGGTGGGCACAGGCACTAGGCGGCCTGCGTCCTCATCCCAGCTCTGCCACTTAGGAGCTGTGTCCTTTCAAGTGCTGCTGTTTTGCTTTCATCCGTGAAATGGGGGAATCATAATAATACTTACCCTACAGGGTGGTCACGAGGCTTCAATGCATTAATAATGCAAAGTGTTTAGAATAGTGCCGGGCACACAGTCAGCACGCAGGACGCGTCAGCACTGACTTATAACAGCGGATACAGCACGTCCGAGCGCGTCTGCGAGCAGGTGTCTGAGGAGCAGTTTGCATGAGCTCATTTGAAAGGGCTTTTGATTTTGCCTGGCGAGGGCAGGGGAGGCTGTGCCTTGGGTAGCTCGGGCAGCATACTGTTGGTTAAGCAAGGACTTCAGGAGAGGCCGGACTCTGAGGAACTGTGTGACCCTGGGCAAGTTTCTTAAGCTCCTGGAGCTGTGAGAGGCTACTTTGAAAAATGAATACGTAAGGATACCTACCCTACCAACTGCTCATTAAACGAGGTATGTTGTCAGGTGCTTAGCACGCTGCCTGGCCCAGAGTAAGCAGCCACAACCCAGTGGCTAATGTCATTTTGAGGAACACAAAGAAGAGAGGGGGCAGCATGGGGTCTGTGTTCATCCTAACGGAGACCCCCCAGGGAAAGGGCGGCAGGTGGAGGCCGAAGATGCTGGTTTGTTTTTGTTTTTCTGGGACTCTGTCCTTGGGGTGTGAGATGGATGAGCGAAGGCACCAGCAAAGGTGCTCTGGCCTTTAGGTGACCAGGAGTGACCTTCCTTTTTGGGTGTGGGTCGCCACGCCTGGCCCCTCTGGGACTGGGAGGGCTGAGAGGCAGGGCATCAGAGGCAGACGCTGGAGATCTCACAGTAAGGGGCGTGCAGAAATGGGGTGAAGCTCCCCAAGAGGAAGGCCTCAGGGAGGATGCAGGAGAAGGAGAAGGTACATGGTGATGGGGTCTCCATAAGCAGGTGGGGACTAGACTGGTGAGTGCTTTTAGGATGCTACTATTAGGACCCCCTGGGCTGCAGCCTGAGGACATTCGGTGACCTGAGCTTAGGAAAAGCTCTAAGAGGTAAGAGGCAGAGACCTCGCCGACAACTAGGGCTATTTTGCACAATTTCAGGAATAAACCTGGACTTTATGAAGTAATGGACTGAAACGAGTGGAGGAGAAACAATCATCTATTTCTGCAGAGGGGGGAGCCCAAGGGAAGGCCCGCCTGGAGAGGACCCACACATTGTGGAGTGAGCAGGAGAGGCAAGTTTATGGGACACGCTGACTCCTTGGGGGTCCTCAAACTACGGCCCGCGGGCCACATGCAAATACAAATATTGTATTTGTTCCCGTTTTGTTTTTTTACTTCAAAATAAGAGATGTGCAGTGTGCATAGGAATTTGTTCATAGTTTTTTTTTTTAAACGATAGTCCGGCCCTCTAACGGTCTGAGGGACAGTGAACTGGCCCCCTGTTTAAAAAGTTTGAGGACCCTGCCTTAGCTCCTTAGTTTGAGCTTTTTTTCTAGAGACAGTGGAATGGATTGAATCTTTTTGAGCAGGAGGATGACATGGCCCCCTGTTTAAAAAGTTTGAGGACCCTGACTTAGCTCCTTAGTTTGAGCTTTTTTCCTAGAGACAGTGGAATGGGTTGAATCTTTTTGAGCAGGAGGATGACGAGAAAGAAGTCAGGGTTTAAAGGAATATGGGGAAAGGTATATCTGGCAGGAGAAGATCTGCGTTTGAATCTGGACTCATCATTGCCTTGTAACAATGAAGAA